ATTTTCATCCCAAACATATTTTGTTCTCATTTCAGAACACCACATTACAAAATACTTGTTCTATTCTAGGCTAAAACAAAACACTACAAAACACAACACTTTCCAAAAAGGGCCCCAAGTATTTTTCCAACCAATGTCATCTCAATAATAAATTATTCACGCACCAACATATGCAAACTTAGCGTTCACATTTTTAACCTAATTGTTCCACCCACTAAAACAATAAATCAACCACAAACTATTTTTTTTTTTTCTATTATTTTTTCAAACAATGCCTTTTCAAATAATTTTCAAATAATAATATTATTTGAAAATATGCCTTTTCAAATAATAACAATAATAAATTATTCATGCACGAACATATGCAGACTTAGCGTTAACATTTTAAACCTAATTGTTCCACCCACTAAAACAATAAATCAACCACAAACTAATATTTTTTTTTTCTTTCAAACAATGCCTTTTCAAATAATAATATTATTGACCAAGTGAGTCAAAATTACTATTGAGTTTGTAAATTCTACAAAAGTAAGAAAATTATTCACATACGAAATTTTTATTCTTTCCAACAATACAAAAAAAACCAATTTCTTATTCACCACCAAATAAGTACATTATCTCAACCACTAAGTATACATTCTATTATTTTTCAAAACTAAATATTATGCTATTTTTGGACGACATCATCTTGACCACTAAAACTAAATTATTTTCTTATTTACCAGAAGTATGCGAATTATTCAAGAACGTATGCAAACTTAACCTACAACAATCGCACTTGAACAATAAATCAACTTATCCACCACCAAACCAATGACATCATTTTGGCCACTAATACTGAATCCTATTGCATAAATTCGTCAAAAGTATGCTAATTATTTATGTACGAACATGCAAAGCATATTATTTTTTCGAAACTTACTAGCTGGCTTCTTGCACTTATACAATAAATTCACTTCTTATGCACCATCCCCGTCATAAACACTATGTCATTTTTCCATTTTTTTTTCCCAAGCATTGTCGCCCCCAATAATAAATTATCCAAACCCGAACATACAATCATTTGTCTCCCCAGGCTTGCCCGCTATATAGGCCGGTCCACAGGCCAATTGTTTCATTAGTATTGGTTTCCAATTGTCTCGCAATTAAGGCTTGGAAGAAAGCTCCTTGAATTCTTCATTAGTACTACCTCTAGTTCTACTTCTACATTTTATTCTTTATTTTCTCTATCGCTAATATTTGAAAACGTAATCTCGGCAATTTGAGATTATGCTATAAATGTTATTTCCTAGGTGGGCTCGAGATCGAGTTGAGGCCATTCTATATTATCTTAATAGAGCAGGATTCAATCCAGCCACAGGTTGCTTTCCTATGGCTAAACCTGTTTGTTATGCCTTCACTTCGTCTGTCTATCGGTATGGGCATGAGATCTATCGGGACCCCAACTTACAAAGCGGCCCATCGTCGAATGGGAGAAAACTAAAGCAAGCATAGGTATGGCAAAACTCCAAGACAAGATGTCGTGACCAGTTAGGCCAGGCAAAAAATCTCATAAGGAGTAAGCTTGAAAGAAAGGATAATAAGGGCAAGAAGAGCAAGTGAACATAATCAACAAACCCAGATGCTCCGATACAATAGAATGCCTATTTCACTTTCTGCTGTTTAGGAGACGCTGCCACGCGGATTTTATTGGACCCGAACTTGTTCCACCTACTGGAACAATAAACCAACCACAATATTAATAATTTTCCTTCTTTTTTTTTTTCGGAACGTAGTCGTTTCAAATAATACTATTGAATAAAAATAATCGGATTATTCACTCACTCAAAACAATAAATCAAACTTTTTATCAGCCACCAAACCTAAGGACAACATTCGACCAATAAAACTAAACATGCATCATCTTAGACCCGGAAAACTAAACAATACGTTATTTTCCTAGGCCATCATCTTGACCACTAAAACTAAACATTACTGGTTGGCTTGTTTCTCTTACGAAAACAATAAAATCTCAACTTTTTAACCACCACCAGACCACTGACATCGTCTTGACCACTAAAATTAAACATCATGTTATTGACCACCAAAATTAAACAGTATGTACTCCCCCCCACCCCCCCCCCCCCCCCCCCCCCCCCCCCCCCTTTTTTTTTTTTCAAACAATGCTGTCTCAATAATACTATTATTGAACAAGTCAAAATTACTATTAAATCATTAATTGGTGAATTCGGCAAAAATGCAAATTATTACGACAGTAACATTCACAATTTATTCTTTCTAAAGTACAAAACCAATCATTTGACTTGTTCCACCAACTCAAAAAAATAGATCAACCACCAAACCCCAATGATAACACCTTCACCACTAAAACTAATATTTTCCTACTTGAATCCAATAATTCAACCAAATGGCCTTAGGTGAGTGCCGAAGATTGTCCATTTAGCATCCTCATGACCACATATTCTTCTTCCCCCAAATATATCGACACCCCCGAAAGGCAAAAACCCTCCAACTTTTGTATTCTTTTCCCCCTCTCTCGATGAGTGAAGTATAAAACCCCAAACCAAACAACCCCCAAAAAATCCCAGCAGCGGAGAATATACTGAATATATTATATATAATAACATGTTATCCCGTCGAAGTCGAAAATGAAACGACAATCTGCACCTCGGGCAATGACCATCGGTCCATTAGCTCTAAATACTGTGCGACTCTCAGCCACAGATACTAGTTCTAGTAGAACGGCTACAACAAACTAAATAAGCAGTCAACAAAAAAGCTTGAATTTTGGAAATTCTTTTGAGCATTAAAGCCCCAAAATTAAATAAAATTTAAGCATTCTAAAACTTAGTGAAGAGGAGAAGTTTATCTCCAAATGCTAACCAAGTTCTTAAATCCACCTATATCAAGTTCCTAAAAATTGATATCAAATTCTGGAAATAATACATTCCAAAGTAAACCTGCTCCTCAGCACCCTTTCCTGCAGTGGATTTGAGTGAGCGCATTCTACCCTATTAATTGGGACTCAGAAAAAAGAAGTCGCAACTTCAATTCCACTTTAATCTGGTGATAGCCCAACAAAAGATGGTAAATTTTAGAGATGTCTGTATGCAGTTGCAATTTATCAAGAATAAAGCGCTTGTTGCCACTCATAATGATGAGGGTGCCTCCTCGTACAAGATTGATGACTAAATTGATCCTTGAACCAACAAGTATATAATAAAAACTATGAATTTAACTTGCAACTAAAAAATAAAAGCAAAATTGGACTTGCAAATCAGCTTTGTCCCAGATGATAATTCCCCAAGCTGAGTTATATTACTAAGAGTTGAAAGCATAAAATATTGCACCTTCAATTCCACTTGATTTTGTTTCATCACACCAGCAACTTAATTAACGTTTCAGCAGGGCCCATTTGATGACACCAAATAATTTAATGTAACTGCATAATTAAATCCCTTTATCAGGGTATTGACTGCTCAATTTCAGTGGACTCGCTGATCAATTTATATAAAAAAAAGTGTGAAACGTGCTCCTAGAAAAATCCCATTTGTATTACTTATTCAATGGCAAGTCATTGACTCATTTGGGTCCAATGATTTTGAATGCATGCCCCTTTGGATAAAATGCTGGCCGGGGGTCCAAGGTTGTATCAAGATCTCACCCCATAGAAAGGGAGGTCTGACTCACTGCCATTATACATAAAGAGACATTATCCGGTCCCGGTCCCGCTACAAGGTACAGGACAAGGAGATCTTGAGAACCTTTGATATTTCACATCAGTGTTCAACAGTTAAACCCCTACCCCACACACACACACGCACACGCACAATATCATAAGTTCATGTACCACCAGGTCACTGGCTTAGGTGGTATAACCTCTCCTCCCAAAAGGGAGGTGAGGAATTTTAGCCCCAGCCAAGGCAAAATTGTGTGTAAAATAAATAAATGCAAAATTGTTAGTAGCTTCATGGTCAAAAAGCACCCAGCCAAATCTACACGAGTAACCACCCCCATAAGTATAAACAGTACAGGACCTTGTCTGAATTCATCTTCCTCTGCCATCAAAAGCCCAAAGATCACACCAAACCTCAAACTAGAAAAATGGCATGCCCTAATGATGTGAACAAGTTCAAAATTAAGAATTTAATCCTCCTCTTGTATCTGGCTAGAGTGATGGTTTCACTCCTAAAGATGAGAAGAAGTTGCACCTATATTAAGCCATGTCTCCATACCATATCAAATCAGGCACACAAGCATGACTGATCTCCAGGAAAATACACCTTAGTTTTTTAAGAGAGTACAATAATAAGAACTAAAACAAATTTCTAGTTATGCCACGAAGAAAAGAAAAAAAAAAACAGATATATATATATATATATATATATATATATCTGTTAAAGAGAGCACAACTAAGTGGGTGTCAGTCAGGGATCATTCAATGGTTCAAGAACTCAGCTGGTACCCAATAGCCTTCGACCACTCAAACAAAGCAGGAGAAAGAAAAAGACAAATGAAAAGGGGGGATAAAACCCTTTTTCGGACAACAAACCTATAAACAAAGATCTGAGGAACACTAAAAGACTTCACTCAAAACTTAACTTTAAACTAACTATTTTCTGAATGGAAAACCTCCTGCCAAGCTTCGTTGAAGTTTAAACCTATGGTGTGCACACACTCAAAAAAGAAAAAATATAATTTCCGCGATTTGAGGTTCACTTGCATATTAAAAGTGGGCTGAACCGAACCAATTCAAGAGGATATAGAAGAGCCACTTCTCCAGAGGAAAGAGGTCCAGTTACTTGGAATTAGAAAGGGAAGATTAAATTTTGATTCAAAAAACATACCTCCGTCAGCTTCAATACCTCTGTGCAAAAAGGTGTTTGGGCAGCGCATATATAGAATCCAAACCCTATTTTTGATAACCAGAACACATCTGGCCAAAACTTTTTGCTAGCACCAGCACTTCGCACTAAAAAAGTGAAGAGGGTTAGCAAAAATTAACAAAGCTTAATCATGATGTTACTGTCCATAAGCCGACCACTTTAATATATCTGTATCAACAAAGCCAACAGAGAAGAATTCAAATTAGAATCTAACAAGCCTACATGTGTCCAAATATGTTGTGCGCCTTTATAATCCATCACTTCTAGGTGGAAAAAGATGAGAAACTAGAGGTAATTCTAAAACCAGGTTGATACAAAATATCTACTTAAAATGAAAGGGTATCACATGGATCATTTAAGTCAATGTATGCGACTATATACACATTTACCTCTGAAATCATGCCTGTCGTTTATTTTAGTGAACCCTTTTCCGCTTGTGGTGACGATAGCCTTCCTCGCTGTCCTCACCAGAGCCACCAACCATCTGCCACCTGTCATTACATAACACGTCACCATGGGGCTTCGAGCTGTGCCTAGAATGTCTGGAACCATAGCCAAAATGCTTCTCTCTACGATGCTTCTTCTGATCGCCGGAAGAACTTGGTTCCAAACCAGATTCTGAGTGGCCATGACGTTTCCGATTAGCTCCTTTGACATCAGACTCGACATTTCTATTTTCCATATCTTTTTCTTTTTTGGTTTGATGCCTACTCCGACTTGAATCGCCAGTGCAGTGTCCCCTTCTCTCATGCTTTTTGGAGCTTCTATGATGGTGTTTATACTTCTCTTCACTACCCCTGTCAGAGCTATGGGGCATATCTTCTACTCCTGAACTTGATCTCTCTGGATGATATGGTCTCCTATCTCTTCCAGCAATTGAGGAACGAGCCTTTTTCTCATGTCTTTCATCGAAAGAGTGGGTGTCACGATCCAAATGTATGTCATGCCGATATTTCCTTTGTGATCTTTTAGTAAAGCTGTCCTCGGAGTAGCTTGCGCTCTTTTCCCTCCCTATATGAGATTTATACTCGTTTGATCTTCCTGGCTCATAGCGGTTATCGGAATCATTATCTTCATCATCATGATATTGTCCTCTGTAAAGCACAACTCTTACTTATACATAAAAGAAGAATGCTAAAAAGATTTAAATCAGAAAATAAATGAAGCAATGTAAGTTTGGCCCTTTTTCTACAAATCTTGCAGAAAAGGGTGGATTCTGTGTGTTGGTTTTGAAGAAGTAAAGAGGGGATATCTAATGAAGAGAGAGAGAGAGAGAGAGAGAGAGTTGAGGCCACCAATCTACATTTGCATTGCTTGTTTCTATTAAAGATTACCTTAACAAACTATCATTTGAAAGCTTCCGTTTGTTTTCACAATCCCGAAGCTCCAAAAGCTCTGAACGGCTTAAAGGGCGTTCTGCACTTGTTCCCACTGGAGGTGCCGCACCTCCCATTCTCAAAAACCCACTGCAGGAAGGTTCAGACTTTCAGGGTCAAAATCCAAATACATAAATACATAACGTTACAATTAGGGAACTGAACTTCAAATTCGTACACTTACACATTGACCTGCTTTTTTTTTTCTCCAAAAAAATAAATGAAGTAATTATTCTTCAAAAACACTTTCATACGACTTATATTCCCCTTTTTAGGGTAATTATCATATTCTTTAATAATAATAAAAAAAAAAAAAAAAATGCAAGACAGTAAAAGTGGTGTGCGAATATCACATCCTAACAAATAAATTAACTTTTAAATAAACTAACAGAATCAGAAGCAGTCTGTTAAAACACTAAGAAATACAAATGTGCATCTGTGGAGCCATATCTATATATAAAATAAATTTACCTGGGGACAGGCATGCCACCATACATAGGTGGCATATATGAAGGAATTGCGTAAGGTGTAACAGGGACCATGGTGGCATTGTAGGGCATAAACCCAGGGTTGCCATACATATTGGTGAAGGGCCTGAAGGGCGTAAATGGAGTGCCATTCCAGTAAGGTGATGCAAAACCTGGCATAGCTCCTGGAAAGATAGTGTTTCCTGAACAACAATCAATATGATAGCACATAAGCCTTCCACAATGCATATAATTATTTGAAAGTAAACAAGACAAGTAATCTTAACCTGTCTGAAGCGTAGGATGTGGACTGGAAGCAGCTGGGCAGTCTCTAATGAAATGGTCAGGAGAACCACACATGTAACAGGTACGATCCCCCTGAATTAAACAGTGTAAATCAATATCACTTGAAGAAAAACGTAGTGCCCTTGAAAACTTTTCATGAAATGCACTAAATAGTTTTGTGGTTTCTTTTCTTAAATGTCATTGTTACACCCTAAATAGCTAAACCCATTCAAGGATTTATATAATGACAGAATTCACAAAACATGACAAATACAGAAGTTGAGCCTGAATAATTTTCAATGACAGGTTTTTGCACTGAATAGGAAAATGAGTACAAAGTAAAGATTCACAAATGAATTAGATGAGGGAAAAGAGAGAGAAAAGGGGAACAAATTGAATGCACAAATTCCTTTAGCAAAAACAATATATAGATTTTAAAACAAGACCAGATCTACAATGACAAGAACATCCAGTATGGTGACCCATAAAATAGGTCCTTGAGCAGAGAATATATGGAGATCTCAGGTAGGCAATGGTTCAAAACCTGCTACTAATTCAAGGCTTCTACAGATGAACAATCAGACTATATAATAACTCCGCCACTAGATCTCTAAAATTGCGAAAAAGCATGCACATCCATTATACGTCTTTAATTACAATACATTGAAACATCTGAGTTTGATGAAGGTTCAGAACCTCATATTAGGAAGATCCTCTAAGAGATTCTATTGGTCATCATCAATTGCTTATTGACCTTCTCAACATGCAAGCCAGGTCTCCAAACACCCCTATGAAGACCACTCAAGACACTAAATTTTGCTAATGATAATTGGAACAGTAAAGGTTTTTTTTTTTTTCTTAGTTGTGGAATAGCAAAGGTATGTACTAGTTATAACAACAGATATTACTGGCCCAACTGATTACCTTTTTGTGTCTGCCAGTAGCTGTATAACTCCTGTCTCCACCTGAAAAACAATGGTCATATTATAATAACGGAACATAGATGAGGAAATAATGTCCAAAAGAGGTCAGTATGATGCAACATAGATACTAAAACTCAACAAGTAAATTCTACCTCCATTGTTAACCCACACTCCCCTCATTTTCTTAAAAGTTGAATCAGCTGCATAACATAGCAAATGAAGAGACACGTCAGAGTTCCAAAACAAGAAGAGCAAAGAATTAAAACAGACTCTTATTTAATATAACGATGCAAATATTACTGGAAATTTAGGCCATGAACATCAAAAGTAACCTAAACATATCATATTCATAAAACAACAGGAGCGTATCAATCCAAGTTCACAAGCCAATACCTTCCTCGTGCACACGGGTTTGAGGTAAATTGACTGGCTGGTTTTCCCCTTGAAAATCAAGAACAGCTGTCAAGTCTTCATGTGCACTTCGGAAATCAGCACGGTGAGAAATCCCAATTCTTTCTCCATCTAATTGTTTTACCTGTTGTGATAAATAAGCTGATTTCAAAGCTTTACCAGCACCTAAGTTGTTGGTACGGGAACCAGAGCCCACAAAAGAAGTATTGTCTCTGTGCAATGACTGATACACAGATTCCGCCATAATTTGATTGGATCCCTTCTCGGTTGCAGAGGGAGAAAGCGGCAAGTCTGGCTCCCTTCGAAAGATAGTCACAGCACAAGAAGCATTTTTTGCCTGAATTCCAGATTCTCCATCTGCATTGAAAGTTTTAGCAGTTAGTCTCTCTCAAAAAAATAATAATAATAATAATAATAATTAAATACATTGATTTGCTCACCTGGAGCATATTTCTGAAAAGCATTGTCAGGATCACCTATAAGAATTTGAGACTCAAGGAAATGCTCAATTGCTTGCCTAAGAGATAAATTTGGTAACAAATTTTCCACCCTGCATTTGCTAGAAGAACATTTGGGACACCTTGCCTTCTCCAAAAGCACTGCACGTATACCTGCACCCATCCCATGGACAAAATTTCAAATGTTAATGCAAGTGATACAAGAACCAATGTGCTCTGTCATACTTTCCACAGAAAAAATGGGCTGCAAAATTTTGTTATATCAGAAAATTGAATTCAGACCTATTCCAACATTTTTAAGCGTCAAAAGGGTTTTATGATCATGTGGAATTTAGTGTCTGGAGATGTATGCCCCTAAAGATGGCCTTCAACTTAAGAAGGCTACTATGAACACAATATATTAGGCTGATGAAAGCTTACGACTGCAAAAAGAACTTACATTTTTCACAAAAACTGTGCTGGCAGCATGGTATCATCACAGCCTCTTTGAAAAACGTGTTGCACAGAGAGCATTTCAGTTCTGATGGCAAATCATAGTTTTGCACAGCAGGACACTTGGCATCATTGACCACCCGCTGATTCCTGCAGTAAAATAATAATTACGTGTTTGAAACTGAATCATAAGAAAAAAAATGAAAGAGATTGTGCATGAACAAAAGTTACTTTTCCAACTTTATATGGTCTTCAATTTTTGGTTTTGTCTGAGGAATATTTTCTTCTGTGCCACAACGATTACAACCTGCCATTAACATTGTAACATGGTAAGTCTAAAAACAAACAAAAACGTGTAAAGAAATACAGAGTAATTTGCCTTCACCTCCTGGAACAGCCTCACTGAGATCACTAATTTCAAGCTTTTGACATCCTAACCTGGATCGCACAGAACATCTGAATTAATAACAAGTATTATAACTTGTGTAAGAAAAAATAAATCAGAAAAATGGATGAAACGAAGATATACCAAAAACATTGATGCGCATATTACACACACACATGAGCGCGCCAAAAAAAAAAAGGAGGGGGGAGGGGGTTGAATTCTTAGTCACGTAAGGGTAAAGGCTTTGGCAGACTGAAATTTTAGATTCCTATAGACAGCATCACATTTAACTTAAATAAATGGCAACACATTCCCTCTTGCCAGTTTCAAACAAAGACCAGTGACTTGCAGAGTGGTAGATATAACAAAGCACAGTACTAAAAGTTAATACAGTTGTGCATAATCAACTAACAGGATAGTTGTGGTCAATTGGTGTTGCATCTTGCTAAATGCATGTCAATTGAACAATACTCCAGGATTATCAAAACCAGAATCAGTTGACTGTTGGATATATTTTAAGTTGTTGTTGTTAAAAAAAAACAAAAAGAAAGAAAGAACAAGAACAATGCATTTATGTAGCTGAAATGATTAGAAGACATAGGATTAATAATCAACATTCGAGAGAAAAACTACAAGTGACGCCTATTAGATAAAATAAAAGAAAGTAGACTTGTGTGGTATGGTCATAGACAACGTAGACCTGCAGATGCCCCAGTAAGAAAGGAAGATTAGTTTGCATAAAAAGTAAGAGACAAAGAGGCTAACCAAAACTCTTATGTGATGAAATAATTAGAAATGATTTTTTTAAATTAAATAAAATAGAAGGTGTGCTTGTGATAGAAAAGAATGAAATGGAAAATTCATGTGCCAGACACCATATGAGATAAAGGTAAGGACAATGATGATGATGAAGAACCATGAACCTATGTTGAATGGACTCAAGTACAAGTATTTTATTAAGGTATATATCTAAATGTTGGACCTTCCTAAATCCCAAGTCTCAGGATGCATGGACTTGGTTAGAAATGTGTGTAAAGGTCTCATATTGGTACATAGACACGTTAGAATAATTGAATGTATAGTTTTGTTATTTTTAAATGATATACTAGATTAAAATTTAACTAAATGGGACAAGGTGAAAAAAATGTGATGAAAAAAAAAAAATTGCTGATATCTTCCTCTAAAAATTAGGAAACCCTTCCTTTTTTCTTTTTTTTGAAAAGTAAAATTTAGGAAACCCTTCTTTGCTATCAAACCTGGGCTTTTGTTTTTCTTCCAACATCCCACACAAGGCATCAATGTTTCCAATTTAGACACATATTTCTCATATCCTTGCGCTTGTAGCATTGTAATCCACATGGGTACCTTAAGGGGAATAGGACATGTGACCCAACATGATATACATAAAGTAATATAATGAGTAAAGTCAAGGAAAGCATGAGATACAGAGAGAGAGAGAGAGAGAGCTTGTGTGGAAATCAACATCTTAAAAGTGAAAGAGAAATTCCTGTTGGCCCCACCATTGGAACTGCTTTACTTGGAATTTACTTGAACCCACTTGGCTATAAAACCTTGATATAGGAATAGAAATATTTAAAATAAAATAAATTCCATTTTAGGGGCATTTCAGTAATTCCATATATTAGCGATTTTTACAACAACTTCTGCACAGTTTCTAGGTTAGAATGGTGCTCTATTATGAGTTTTATCTAGTCTTTCATTCACTTGGAATAGTTATAAAAAGGGATTTCTGAATTAGAGAGTTCTTATTTTTGGATTGTTCGTGTCACTATATAAGCTAGTCTTGTAGAGACAACTTAAGAAGTGTTGATCAGCCATCAGCGAGAATTCTGTTTAAAATTAAATGACAGTCTATTACACATGAGACCCAAATTCTAATTTTAGCTTCTCCCTTCTTATCTTTTTCAACTTCTTTACTTCAATTTCAACTGCTATGGTGCAGAAGGAAGTGCCACAACCAACCCCTCAATCACCATGACCCTTTGATCATAAAATTGACCCCAACTGGCAATATTTCTTAGGGGTGCACACGGTTCGGTTCCGGTCGGAACCGGAACCGTTCACAACGGTTCCTTAAAAATGGAACCAGAACCGGAACCGAACCGTGACTCACAGTTCGGTTCCACTGGAACCAACTGTTTGCTGTTTTGTTCCCGTGTTCAGTAGAATCAGTAGTGATTTGAAGGCTTTGTTGAGCCCATAGCTAAAACAATTAACAGAATACAAAAAAAAAAAAAAAAAAAACTGATAGTATAAATTCTATAATATTACAGCCATCCCTTGGTAATAAATCAACTGATAGTCTGAAATCTGAAATTCTGAATAACCTTTCAAAATAAAAAATGAGAGGATGAATGAGATACTGCTTGAAGAATCAAGATGAGAGGCTGTAAGGCTGTAAGCCGCGATCTGAAGATGAGAGGCTGTAAGGCTGTAAGCCACAATCTGAAGATGAGAGGATGAGAGGAGGCAAGGCGCCGAAGGCGATGAGGATTCGAGGAAGCTTGAGATTCGGCAAGGGCGATGACTATCGAGGAAGCTTGAGATTCGGCAAGGGCGATGACTGTCGAGGAAGCTTGAGATGAGGGGAGGCGAGGGTTTGCTTGAAAGAGATGAGATGAGACTTTAGGTTAGACTTTAGTCTTTAGATAAGTTTTTCACTTTTTTTTTTGTGGCTGTACGAGTGACCACGTGGCTGAGACTATGACTAGGTCTATGAGTAACTGAGTTTAGTCACTGAATTTACTTTAGTCTTAATCTATATATATATATATATACGGTTCCGGTTCTTACCAGTTCCCACGGGCTGGAACCGGAACCGTGAGAACCGGAAAAAACGGTTCCGGTTCTCACGGTTCTGGTTCTGGTTCTGGTTCCGGTTCTTTTGTGCACCTTCATTTCTACCCCTATACCCTGACTTTTCCTTAATGTCCAGAAATTCCAGCAAGGTTTTCTTCCATGATCTCACATCAAAATTAGCTCAAACCCTCAACCAATATAAACCTTATTCCATGCTTATGCCATAACTTTGACTTCTTTTCAACAAACTCCATAAAATAGAAGTTACAAAGCGCACCATTTTTTAATTGCAAGGCATCCTTCATTACCTTACTTAATGACCCATCCTACATCAGCTCACCTAAGCTTTGCTTTATGATTACGAAGATTGGTAATTCCAACTTGAGAAAAATTAAAAATTCTTCATCCAAAATCCCCTCTATTTTAATAATAAGATTTTCAAAATGGACTCGTCACCTAACTAATACCACTCATAAAGGAAATAGATCAAAATGCAACATCCACATGGTAAATCCAACTAACAAGCTCCAAATTCTTCATCCTAGATCCCCACTATGTCGAGATTAAAGTCTTACTTTATATCGGTTGTCGCTAAACAAAGATCACTTACAGAGATAAAAAATATATATATATATCCTAATTAACAAAACAAGCTTGAAAAAAAAAAAAAAAGTAGTAAAATATCATTCAAGACCTAGATTAGCTTCTATAACAAATGTGATAGCATCCAAATTCTCCCCACAAGTTTCTAACAAAATTTAAAGCCAAATCAAGTCACTGGTGCTAGGGGCCATTGCTCCAGTACAATGCAAAAAGTGCAAATGCAAATAAGAACACAGGTTCAAGTTTGCTAACAACTACTCTAAGCATATAATTCCAAAGGTTAGTATTTCATCCAGTTTGCCCCACCAAGCAGCTGACATTAGAGGGACCACTACCGGGTAATAACATCCTTCACCAACCAAAAATAAATAAATAAATTGTAGTACATATCTAAAGTTCATTAAAGATATTCATGAGAAAACTCAAATTATTCATACACGAACCAATCCTCATTTCCCATTGATTCACTGTTTCTAGTAAATTGAGAAAAAAAATATACTAATATTTTTTTGAACCTGAGACAGAGAACTAACTCAGCCAAGCCTTAACTAAACCATCACTTCAGCATCCACATGAAAGCTAAAAAATTCAGAACATGGGCTAAATAATGCAGCCTGCCACATAGACCAATAGAATCCAATATGTTTATGGTATAACCTACATATAACTCAGACTACAACCAAAAAAGAAAAAAGAAAAAGAAAAAAGAAGACCTTATCCATATGAAATGAGCCACCTATGTGCAACGAAAAAACACTAAGCTCGACTATAACCCAAAGAAAAAGTTATGTAAGAATTAGTTTGACTGCTGTACTAATATATTTATATATATATATAATTTACACACATATATTTATATATTGAGTAACAAATGCAAGCCAATTCTGCACTTAAAGTGATAGAAAGATAGATAAATAGATATATATAGAGAGAGAGAGACGTCAATAACACAGTTATACCTTGTAGCTGCATTCTTTGCCTTTTCATTGCTAATGGTGTTCTTCTCAAATTCAAGATCGGAGTCAGATAAGCCAGCCTCGGGAACGGGACACAGGTCAACCCCAAAGTCATCAAAGTTGTCCATTTCTGCATTCTATTTAAAATGAAGAATTTCAAGAACTAGAAACACTAGAGTTCGGGATATGTCAATGAACACAAAAATTAGAGTTCGTTCTACATGTGGTGAGACTAGTGAGTCTTCTATAAATGTAGGATTGCCCCAAGGATCGATGATGAGCCCATGTCAAATGATTTCGAATGAGACATTCCGTGATGCATGATATTTGCAAATGATATAGTGCTAGTTGACACTTCTAAATAGAATTTAGCAATTAAACTAGAGAAGTGGAGAAATGTGTTAGAATCGACAAGATTGATGAAGATCAGTAGAACCAAAACTGGATATATGGAATGCATGTTTAATAAATAAAGACTATAAATTGATGATATAATTATCACACTCCAGAACTAAAGGATTATGCAAAATAACTACTTTCGACACTTAGGATCAATAATACAAAAGGATGGGGAAATAAATAGTGATATAACTAGTAGAATTTGGTCAAGATGGATAAAATGGAGACAACTTAGTGGCATTCTTTTATATGGGATAGAATGTTGGGCTTTGAAAAAGAAAAAAGAACGCCACCTTTATGTAACAAAAATGAGAATGTTAAGATGGATGATTGGAGTAACTAGATGAGATAGGGTTACTAATGAAAGAGATAAAATCAAGAGCGGTGCCCATTACTGAGAAAAATAAGACAAATAGAATGAAGACCTATAGATGCGACAATAAGAAAAGGAAGATTAGTTCGCACAAAAGGTAAGAGAAAGAGGCCGACCAGAATTATCATAAAAAAGAGAATTCATGCTACCATCTCTATTCGTATGGGATTAAGACAAGGATGATAAGGATGAATATCAAGAAGTAGAAAGGCTACAAGATATTTTTTTAGTCCCAAATTAAAATGTCCCTCTTTCCATTTTGGATGTTCTAAAATAAATATCCCTTTGGAAAAGTCGATGCACCCTTTTTTTCAGCCCCAAATTTTATTTTTTTGGGAAAAAAATCCCTCCCAAACTACCCCTTTATAAAAAAATAAAAAAAAAATTTGCACACAAATCAATATATTAAAGAAATATGAAAAATCCATCTTTTCCAAAACAATGTCATTACGCAGTGTTGTCCACCTGCCCATGCAAGGCCAGCAGGATCTTCACCAACACAATGTGAATGCATTGACTGCCACTTACTTAAAAAGTTAAATTCCCCCAACGGATGTTTAAATTGGGATAGAGAGAGGATTTCATAAAGACTGTAATCTATAGGGTGGCCATGAAATAGAACAGAAAAACATGTAAACATGAAGAGATTTCAGAGGACACTGCATCAAGGACACAGTTCAAGGTGGCAGTCATTTTCCCACCAATGGTAGAACGTAAAGATGTTCAAGTTATTATAAAATCCATTGTTAGTGCCTTTCTCTTTTTTGCTTCCTCCAGAAAGTACATAAAACTAGTGGTCAGACTTGAAATGAACAATGTGATGGACTAAGCACCTTTAAACTTGCAAAAAGACTTTTGTGAGCAGTAATGTCAAACAAAATCTTTACTGTCAATAACATTATTTAAGAGAGAATGCACCGAACAGTAAATTATTTTTCCGTACCACAGGAATATATCCAATGGGATTAGCGTGATTGGAGTCTTTTATCCCCAAATTCTCAGCCGAATTGAATGGTGCCCTGAGACAAAGTTGAATTATGTAAGAGAAACATGGAGATAAAAAATAATATGTATATATATATATATAAATAAATTGACAGCTTTAAAACTATATCATAAGTATAGCCATTCCCATGTCTCAATGTGCATGAACGATATAATTACAGAAACCATGTTTGATCGGATAGTTCCTAAGTTGTTCTAAACTGTAAACAGGAAAATTTACAAGATATAGAATGAAACTGGAAAACCAGTGAAAAAATTAAAATGATTAAATTATTACCCTATTAGATATGTGATTCTATTCAGGGAAAAAAAATGTAATTCTCAATATTCTGTATAATAACTATTACCTACTAAATATGTAACTCAACTCAGGAAGAAAAATATAATTCTCCACATTCTATATAATGACAGGAGATTTTATTAATTATCCTGAATTTTGGAATTCTAATGACACCTACAGGCAACTAAATTTTCCACAAAGTAATCATCTTTTATGTAAAATTGATGTTACCTAGAATGAACCTAACTGTTCTTAAATAGCTTGAGTGCAGCTTGATAACATGCATGTTCATATGCACACACAGCAAAAAAGACAAATGTGAGATCAACTTTCAGCTCATTTTAAAAAGGTATCAAACGAAAGCAGCCCCATGCTTTTGGTAGACAACCTGTAGTGGGGTCATAAATTTCTTCCAAGATTATAATACAAATTTAGAGAATGATTTGCAGTCCATCCCTCAATTATATTGCCATTTATCAAGAAGGTTCTTCATGACCAAAGAAATGGGATGATCATTTTGAAAGTTCAAACAAAACTTTCTGGTACGCTTCAGCCCCTTCATCTTCATTTTCTGCTTCAATTTAGTTTCCTAATCCAACACCCCACCCCACCCCCACCCCCCCAAACTTTCTTTTCTTCTGGGATTTTCATTTGCAGCGTGTTTCCATGCATCAGTTCCAAACCCACTAATATATTTGGATGCCTTTATTATTTTGTTCCATCAAATTCTACAGCTGCAGACCATGGGTTTCCAAAATAAGAAAAAATTCAATGAGGCAATTGACATGAAAAGACACCAGCAATCAATTCCAGTAGAAAGGTCAATTTAGATAACTAGGCTTGCGTCTATTTCTAACCAGTAAGAAAAGCCTCCTAAACGAGAACAGAAAACCAATAAAAATAAATTACATAAAAAAGAAGGAAAATTGAGAAAATTCATCATCGAACCCTAGTCTTGTTCACGTCAAAAGGCCCAATCTATAGATGCTAAAAATCACAAGAGACTGCATGCTTTACACCTTTGCCTTTGAAATTACAACCCAAAACCCAAAAAAGTATATCTGATTACAGAATATGTACTAAAACGGAAATTTTCAATGAGCTGCCTGACGATAGAGCTTATTACACTGAGACTAGGCTTGATCAACAATCAGATGGGCCTTCTATGTCAGCCACATGGCTAAATGGTGTTCACGAGGGTAAATAGAAATTTTGCATCTATCACCACCATTCTCTAGCGGGTCTTGGTGCCACTATACAGCCTATTTATGTATCTATCATCACTGATCTCTGTATTTCCTTCTAATGATCACTACCAACCACAACCGAACCCTTAACATCATCATATTCACTTCTATTTAATCGAATTTTCATGGTTAAACTGATTTTTTTACTTCTCTTCCTGCCTTATTGTAGATACAATACCCCCCACCCCCACCCCCAATAATAATAATACAAATTTAAAATCTGCCCAAACAAATTCATCTCTTCCAGAAGTAAACACCACGTCAACAAGACTACAACCCATCACCATCAAAAAACCTTAATGGTTGTAAAAATCTCACTCTTGCTGCCCCTAGAATTTGCATTCATATCCGCAACATGAATCTTGCAATTTGATTGGATTAGAACCACAATTCCAAATGTCACTGAAATTTGGGAGCATGCCAAACCTAAGCCAAAATAATGTGCTCTGATTTTTCCCCTTGTTCGCTAGGATTTTATGTAAGAGGGGGATGATGCAATCTTTCGACTGGCAATTCTGAAAGAGACGCGCTCCTACGGATAACCCTTTCAACAAGGACGAGAGGTACCTTTAAACCAGAGGACGCTTGGACCAGGTCATTGGCCAAAATAAGCTTTGCAAAGTCCTTTCTAAGGGCTTTAGGGCATAAATATACTTACCTTTCACCTTTCTTTCCTATTTTTCCTTTATTATTGGATATCTCTAGGGCTCTTTATAAAGAAATAAAAAATTCAATCTCTCTCCATAAAACACCAATTGAAAACAAGCTTCTACCACATGTTCTTACTCGCAACAGAATTATTGAAGATGATTTACCAAGGTCTGGAGAACTCACGACAGAGTTATTGAAGCCATGGTTCGCCGAACCAGCCGGTTCACAACAGAAATTGGGGTACCGATAACGGTACTCCCCGATGTACCAGGAAGCTTACTGATTTCATAACCGAATTGTCCGATTCGGCAACAAACCGGCCGATTCTCGGTAATCTTGACCAACTCGGACGAGTAGCAGGCAGTTTGGGCTTGCCAACCCGGCCAACCAAGTCCCAGCCAGCTAGTTTGTATTTTGGAAGAAAATAATATGCATATAGAGAGAATCGAAAACCGGCTTACGGTGTGGATGGGGATAGTTTTAACCGTTGAGCCACAATAAGCTTTTAATACTAATACTACTACAATAAAATTTATACCATTTCTTGTTCTTCCAGTTTAAAATAAAATAAATGTATTTGGTTAAGAGCAAAACCAGTTGAGCAACTCTTTCATTTATTATTATGTAATTCAATAATGGTTATTTATTTAATCTTAATAATTTTTCATTAAACACTACAACAAAAAGTATTAACTATATTAACTAAGTAATTATATATCAACACACTATAGTATATAATGAATTATTTAGAAATTCGTCAAAGTTCATATTTGTCTGTGTCAATATAAAACATTTCATTTAAACATTAAAGGCATACACAATATATTAAAGAAAATAATACAATGTTGGTATATAAATAATAAATATGATCATACTCCCTCCGTCCCAAAATACTTGTCCATCTTTTCATTTTGGGATATCCCAAAAAAACATGTCCCATTCCAAAATTGAATGTACTATTTTTAATAACATTTCCAAACTATCCTTTTAACTAAACAACTGCACTAATTACGGAGCACTATTTTGTCTTTTAGTAAGGACATATTTGAAATTTCACTCTTATCAATACAATAAAAAACTATTAAAACTCCACTACCATAAAAAGTTGGATTCCCCATGCAGGACATGTATTTTGGGACAAAGGGAGTATATTATATACACCTTTATAATATATATATATATATATATATATATATATATTGATTCATAATTTTCTTTTACTTTTGATTGTAATATGTTAAACATGGTATGAAATTTCATTTCTTTCAAGCTTAAATCTACTATCTCCGTCCCAATAAAAGTGTCGTTAATAGGAACCGTGTCAGTTCAATTTGTGTGAATCACGGTTCTCTAAAAGTGACACTTCTTATGGGACGGAGAGAGTATTATTATTCATTAGTGTACTAAAAATGTAATTACTAAGCCTTTTTTATTATGACAATGACTTAGAATATACAAATAGGTTGTGTGTTAAATAGCCTTAAAAAATTCAATAAAAATCATTAAATTCACTAAATATCCATTTTATTGAATTATATTATAAGTATCGTATCAGTGTGTGTTTTGGGCTTATGTGCGAGAATGAAAAAAAATCACACATGCAATAACCGATTCAGTTGCGTAGAGTTGATATGGGAGGCAACCACATCAGCATCTGCAAACCATGATTGTAGCTGATTTACCAAGGTCTAGATAACTTTTGTCTTTTGGGATGATTACTTTATTTGGTGTTTGAATTTCTCACTTTCACCCAAAAAAACAAAACAAAAAGAGTCGCTAAGCAAAAAGGAAAATGAAGTAGTGATCCACCATGGGATCATTGAACCTCCATCAATAATGATAAGGGTTGTAAAGTTGGAATGAATTTGAAGTGTAAATATTGTAATAACGCACAATGGGGTGGTGTTATTAAGATGGAAACATCATTAGCAAGATCTCTACAAATTTATTTTCAAAGCGCTTGCTTTGAAAGACGTTATAATGCTCTTAGGTTGGCTCAACTCTTAGGGCTAGTTTGGTGTGGTTGAATGAAATAAAGTGGGAATGGAACGAATCAGAGAATGGAATGGGAATGGAATAAGAATGGAATGACCATTCTCATTCCCATGTTTGGTTGCACAGAAAAACATCTTATTTTTGTAAAACATATATAAATATGTATATATATGTATATATATATATATGTAGCCGGCATTTCATTAAATACTTTTTTTATTCATTTATTTATTATTATTATTTTTAAAGTGGGAATGGAATGGTCATTCCTTTAGTTGGAAAGTGGAATGAATTAGTGAAAATCACCATTCACGAAGAATGAGAAAGAATCATCATTCCAACTTTAAAGTAACTAAATAATGAAAACAAAAGCATTCCATTCCCACTTCATTTGATTCCATTCATTCACACCAAACATGGCCTTAAGGTTACAATAACTAAATGGTGGGTTTTGCATGACGTTCTCCACTCAACTGGTTGGGGGGTTTTGGATGATGGAGGTAGTTAAATGCGAGAGGTGATAATAGTGGAAAGGATTGTTAAGAGAAATTGGAAGGTGGAGGATGCTCCTTTGATGTTGTGGGTGGTGGTAGTTGATTAATGATGGTCATGGATTGAACTTCGTACAACCATGATTACAACAGTGGAGATTAGTGTTAGTTATATTAATTGATGGACACAACAGTCGAGAATTGCTTGGAGAAAGAATGAAGAAGAAATAAGAAAAGATTATGGTTCGGGACATGGTGGGTAGGGCTTGAAATAGAGTTGATTTTGAACCAAATCCCATCCAATTTGAAGTCCATCATAACGTGCTTGAATTTTAATCTTGAATCTGAATCCTAAAATGAATCGAATGTGGATCTTCAAAGGGAAGATCCATCAAGGTCAAAAAAAAAATTCCCTTGGTACTCACACACCCCCCTCAAAGGAATTGTTTGCACCAAAAGGAGTCGAACTTTAGACCTGATGCTTCCTGAGGGACCAGGGCCAGTGTTATTAAAGGCCCGAGGCACTAGAGGTCCTTTGAAGCCTAGGCGTGAAGCGCACGGCGACCTGAGTGAAGTGAGACGTGCTATTGAAAATTTAAACTACCATAAAAACATTCATATCTCATAAGTCATATCAATATTGTAAAAATTAATATCAAATATAAAAACGTAAATACATCAACTAAACAAGCATCCAACAACCATAAAACAGATCACATATTTGTTTTCTTGAAAGGCAAAGTAGAATTTGTTTTTTTGAATGGCAAAACATAGCACAAAAAGAAATAAATTTGTTAACAAAAATAAATAAATAAATAAAACTGCTAACAAGAAAAGAAAAGAAAAAATAAAGCCAAAAAAAAAAAAGACGCAGAGACGGAAGAAGTAGATCAAAAGAGAGAAGTAGACGAGAAGAGAGAGAAAGTGTTAAAGAAAAAACCGAGCCCCGCCAAAACAAAAAAAGACTAAAAGAGAAGAGAACTAGACAAAGATAGAGATGTAAACAAAGATAAGAAGAGTATAGGAGAAGAGAGGAGAGAGGAGAAGAGGAGAAGAGAGAGAAGAAGAAGAAAGAACTGACATGACTTCGTCGTTCATCTCTGCAACTAGGGCTTCGTCTCACGTCTCACTCTTTCTCTATTCGATTGACGCTTTGACTCTTGGGCTTTCTTATTTGTTTATTCTTTGAACAAAAGTTTCTTCTCTCGAACGCTTGGACTTTCTTATTTGTTTATTAAGTTGCCAAAAGTACCCTTTTTGACTTAAGAAATAGAATAATTATAGTTTTTTCAAAAAAATCAGCTAGGGCATGCCTGACAAACAGGATGAGGTGCAACCGAGGCGTGGGCCTAGTAAACATCAGTAAACCTAGGATAACAACAAGCGCTAGACCTGAGCCTCAAGCACAAACAACACTGCCAGGGCCAAGTGACTTACTATTACAAGGGAAACTTGTCCCACATTGGATCCGGATGGGGAAGTGAATGGGTATATATAATTTGGATGTCCCACCTAATAGCTTAAGCTTTTGGGTCGGATCACGAAGCACCCGATCTGTTACAGCTGGTATCAAAGCCAGACCCAGTATCCAGTGTCATGCTAAACGGGCAGCCTAGAGGTGTCCGAGTGTGCCACCCAGGGTAGGCAGAGTGCCCCGACCACCTGAGCACCCAGCCCGTTACACTTAACCACCTGAGCCAACCCCTTAGGATTAAATCTAGATACGGATAGTTTGTAATTGGATTGGAGTTCACCCAAGATCCAACCCAAACCAAGCATTTACACTATTAGGATCTTTTCCGCAACATATGGACAAGATGCAGATCTTATACATAGGAATTAGGATCCAACCCTGATTCGGATCCAAATATAGATCTTGACAATAAAATTTAAACATGGACTTAGATCCACATGAATCCGCTCCATTCAACTCCTTAGTGTTGAGGATGGTGGGTTAAGGAGTTAAAGTAAAAGAGAATTGGAAAGCAATGAGTTATGATGGAAGGGTATTAACAACAATATCAATGCATATAATCAGGAAAAAAATAGAATTTTTTTTCCTAAACGAACTGAATGTTAATGTAATAATCCCAAACTTCAAGAAAGGTCACTGAAATTTCCCCATAAAAATAAGTAGTTCATAAATGTTCCACAAAACATCTCCTATAAAGTCTCCATCTACGGAGTCCTCCAGCATGGCTATACACAAAATAGGCATTGTAGTATCTACCGATGCTACACTAGTATAAAAGGAAAGCTAATCTCTTGCTGGTCAAGAAAATCACAATTGAACTTCAAAAGATCCCCAAACTTTCTCCAACTTTGCTTCTTAAATCTCAACAAAATTAACCATAATAAATTTGCACAGAGACTAGTAGATACAAGTCCATCCATGCGTTTATTGTACGGAGAAAGAAGGATATAACATTGTAAATGGGAAAGTGGAAGAGATCAAATAGGATAAGTAATTGTACACCTCATATCCTTCCAACTTATTATATAGATGTACAACATAGGCACTATCCAAAAATGCAGCATCAAGGGCTTCCCAGCCTTTCTATTTTATGTTATGATATTATCAAAACTTGTTCAAGATTAACAGCAAAAATCATCTATCAATGCGATAATTGGTGCTCTGGCACAAATGCCCAACATTGCCTTGCTTTCAACACTTGTGCATGCTCACGTTCTATACATATTCAAGTTGATTTCCTGACTTATGTAATCAGGCCACGTATTATTAGGAACCACTCATGCATACAGCTGATTGTGTTCTATAAGCTAGTACATCTATAGAACTACATGTACCAACAAAATAAGCAGGTATCACGTCAGATACATGATGCATCAATACATAAACAGTCGTGCTATATAAGCAAACTACATATACCAATTTTCAGCTGACTGCTCTTAACAAACCAATCACAATTTATGTTATAAATTTCAAACCACAACAGACATCTACTTTAATTTAATCATTGCTCTCCACATCAGTCGGTCAGTTCAGTCTCAATCACTGCTCTCCACATCAGTCGGCCGGTTCAGTCGTAGAGTTATAGCTGCACTTATCATTTTTAATACAAAAAAATCTATATTCTCAACACATTCCCATTGTTTCAAAATTTCATCTCAAAATCATCAAAAATTGTTATCATCCGTCATTGTTTCTATAAAGATTTTCCAAACTAGAAAATTTTACTAAAGCAATTTAAATCAAACTGTGAGAAATTTACCTCACTGCAGGGACTGATCCCGAGGGAACTCTCTTAATAATTACACTGGAACCACTTGAAATTTGGAAATTTTCGTCATTGTACTCTGAATTCAATCCAAAAGAAGAAAATCACAGCCCAGAAACAAACAGTAATCAGTTAGATTACATATCAATTCCCAAATTTTACAGCACGCGTGTATATGAACAATCGTACTAAAACCAAAGGAATCAGATAATTTTCGGCAAGCAAGCTCAAGTTAACGGAAAAACAAATGAATTGAGGTGAGTTGGAGAGAAAGAGGCTCACCTTGGCCTGTGGTGGCATCGGAGAAGACCAAATCGAGGTCTTGGCTGATGTTGAGTTTCTTCTGGCGAACAATTTTGGACCTGAGGTCCCGAACTGAGATTGAGGAACGACCTTCGATGTCGACCGAATCGAAGCTCGCGGAGCTCCTGAATTTGAATCGGATGGACATGGCTGAGCAAAATCGGCGAACGGAAAAATCTCAGATCATGAATAGGGATACGATAAATCTGTATACCAAACTATACTGTATGTATATAGCGATAGAGGGGTAGATAGAGTTGTTATATGCAAAGAGTGTTTAAGATTTGGGTTTTGGGGAAGGAACAGTACGTAAGAAACGAGGAAGATGGTGGGAAACCTAAAAAGCGACCGTGAAGCGGTTACAAAAGAGGGCTAAGTCACGTGTCGTGCGCGTGAATGCGGAATTTTGTCCTATTTGCATGTTCTATATTTAGATGTAATTTTTAAAAATTAATTCTACGAGATACCCTTTATACAAATATATCAACCTTTTTTAATTATTATATATGAATTACTTTTTCTCTTACATGCGGATGTATGGTGGGGAAATTTTTTGTTATTGTATTTTACATTCTTAAATTTGTATATTTTTGTATTTATATTTTTTAAAATTTTTAAATTATTCTTATTGAAATTATGAAAAAATCTCAATATATAAATTTGTCGCATTTTATATTCTTAAATTTGTATATTTTTGTATTTATATTTTATAAAATTTTAAAATTGTTCCTATTGAAATTATAAAAAAATCTCAATATATAAATTTGTCCCCCTCATATGAATTTCTAGATCCGTCCCTACTTACATATATAATTTCATTTTTAAGTCAAAGATAAATGAATGCATTTTTTTTAAATACTATAACTCGAGACTTGTCTTAACTTGGTGAGAAAATAATACTTATTTTTTACTTAATTTAACATGAATAATATTCTTTTGTCTTAATTTAATATTGGAATTTTTTATTATTATTATTGGTAAGAAATTCACACACCAAGATTTGAATCCTCACCATGCACTTTAACAAGCAGCGAAGATGACACAAGACCACGAGACCCTTGATTAATATTGGATTAAACTTACTTTTAATTATTGATATTTTAAATACTTAAAACCATTGGTCAATCAACTAATTTGAAACAACTCAATATTTTTGGGGATAATTATATAAAAATGGAGTTTTGAGGGTCAAAGGACAAAAAAATGAAGTCAAAATAAAATTTTCCAAATTAATGGAAGTTTATGAAAGTCTGAATTAGACATGGAAAATTACTATACATTATTTTTTTTATTCCCAAAATACCCTTCTATGGTTGTTATGAAATTATGCTACTACCCCTCTCATATCTAGAGAGTTGTTATGAAATTATGTTACTACCCCTCTCGTATCTAGAAAGAGAAACCCATTTATGTCAATCCTCTCAGACTTTCATTCTCGGGTAGCTCCTCCTTCCTTAAACTCCCGAAACACACTGTCAAAATTACCGACGTCGCCAAATCCAACCAAACCCTAGAAATTAAGAGATATTTGTTATTATTATTATTTTTTTAAAAAAGTAAAAAAGTTAGATATTTGTTACTTTGATACTATAAACCTTACCGGAAGATGGAGACAGGCCTAATTCTCATTTGTGAATATTCCAATTTTTATGATATGATTTGGATTTCACAGACCCACTTAAAGATTTCTTATGGATCCACAAGCATTTGCATCAACCTTTTGTATTGACGAGCTGTAGATCGACCGTTACAGAGGATTGTGTTGGTTTTTTCATGATGTTTCGTGTTAGGTTTTTTAGTCTCAGCTTGGATCTTGATTTTTCTTTTTGTATGATATGGATTTTGGGTTTAAATCGGATTTGAGGCAAAAGATGTTTTGGAGGGAACCTGAGCGGAAGAACAAAGATTTGCAGTTTTTTTTTTTTTTTAAATGGGTTTGTTGGTAAGGTGGGTGAAAGAGAGTTGGCAAATAGGATTGTTGGTTATTTCTTTGGGAAGAAAAGTTGCCACCGATGGGTTTCTCTCTCTAGATATAAGATAATGGTGTTTTATAAATAAAAATATGATCGTATAATAAATTTTCATGTCCACGTCACACTTTTATAAAATTTATTAATTTGGAAAACTTAATTTTGACTTCATTCTTATGTCTTTGACCTCGAAAACTCCATTTTTATGGAATTATCCCATATTTTTTGTATATTATGGGAAGGCAATAGATTGTTAAATTTTTTGAAAGATAACTTCTTTTTCTTTTACACATCTCAAATAAAATTAGGTGTGTATTTTGAATATAATTTGGCTATGCGACAAAATTGCTTTCGCTAATTCAAGTTATTTACGTGATATAATAATTTGTAATGTTTTAGCATTTTTCTTTCCCTAATGCTTCCATCAAGAAGAAAGAAAGAAGAGGCGTGGACGAAAAATAGAAAGAAATTGACAAACTTCCTTCATTAGATAGTGATGATATAAGAATGAGAAAATAAAGGGTAATAGGATGAACAATTCATCCTTCCTCTTACACAAATTTGTACATGTCTAAATATGGATAAAAAGATAAGAGATAAGACAAGTAGGCATATTGTAGAAGTTTCAAAATATTGTATCATCTTTTATAAATATTTACTAAATCCCACAAATAAAACAAGTGATGGATTTAATGGTAAAGAAGATAACTCAAAAATCTCTCTTTTGTTTATCTTAGAGCATATCCAACTATTGTGTGTATATATATATATTTGTGTAAATATAATGTGTCATAATAGATTTACAAAAAAAAAAAAAAGGATTATTTATTTTTAGTTATTTTTTACTCGTTATTTTATACTTTTTATATAAAAATATATCCCAAAAAACAACCAATCAATGTCATACCTGAACCCACATAATTTTTACATACTTACTCAATATAGAGTTGATTTACACATTGGTGATGTGACATGTGATATTGTATCTTAACAAACTGCTAAAAAAAAAAAAAAAAAAAAAAAATTACATATTGTATACTGGAAATGCTCTTACCGATCAAAATATATTGTAAATTTTTTTATCTTTTTTTCCATCCAGCCGAACAAAAAGAGGAAATAACATATTCATCCCTACTTCTCTCCGTGGCTGTGTATGTTTTACATAAAGAGTATTTTAACATACGGCTGGAAATGCTATTACCGATCAAAATAAATTGTAAATTTTTTTATCTTTTTTTCCATCCAGCCGAACAAAAAGAGGAAATAACATATTCATCCCTACTTCTCTCCCTTCCATCCATTTTTTTTATTATTATTTTTTTCTATCAAACAAAGCATTAAACAAATGATGAAAAACAAATTCATGCTTTAGAAGGTTTATTTCTTAATAGGAGCTGAATTTTACTTATCCACCTAATGCACTAAAGTGGGTTTATGTTAGGATTGCAACTCGGGTGGGTTTGAGGTATAGCTTAAGCCCAACCCACCGTATAAAATGCTAAATCCAAGCCCAATCTTAACCCAAAGCGTGGTGGAAATCGCTTATTTATTACATGATATTCTTCCTAGTCCCAGCCGACCTCCTTCCTCATCAACCTTAACTACTCAATTCAAGCCCAACCCATCATTTTACTTTTAAATTCGAGCTTGTAACTCGAGTTTAAATTCTGGGTAAAAACTTCAGGTTAATTCGGGTTCATATGGCTAATCCTTATATTGAAAAATTAATATGACGTTGAATTAGTTTTAGATTAAATTACTTTTAAATAAAAAAAAGGGTAAAGTGCAAAAAATCCCCTTCAACTATTGGCCATGTGCAATTAACCCCCCTGAACTACAATTTACCCCCTTAAACTATTAAATTTGGTGCAATTAACCCCCTAAGTGACATCTCCGGCCAATTAGTTATAACGGAAATAGTAAAAGACAATTTTACCCCTATATAAAACCACGTCGTTTTAGAAAATTTTAGCAACCACCAATTTTTTGATATTATTTAATCCACAAAAAATAGAACCAAAAAAATAAATTCTGAAAAAAAATTGAAAAAACCAGGCCATCGCCGCGAGTCAACCATGGCCGAACCAGCCCATCACCGTTCAACCCACCATCTAAGCTCGTCCCCACTGCCGTCTCTTCATCCGCAAGCTCACAGCCGAAGTCGCAACCAGCCCATCGCCGTTCAACCTACCGATCCTCTCCACCATCCTAGCTTCTCCTCGCAGTCGTCGCTTCATCTGAGCGCCGTCGAGTCATCCACGACCGAGCCATCACCAAACCAGCCTACCGACCTCACCGCTGTCTTCCCCACCGCTGCTGCCGCCACTCACTGCTGGTTCATTCCACCTCCGCCGCTGTGCAGTTCCTCCGTCACCGGCCGATCCAGATGAACCGCATAAGAAATCTAGATGTTTGGACAGTGGTGACACCATCGACGACTTGATCACTGCAGAATTCAATTAAAACCAAACAAATTGCTCCAGATTCATTTAATCCAAAACTTGATTGAGACGAATTGCTCCGGTGTATTTTCAATATCCCTTGAATTGACAAAGCCATCAAAGTGAAATACACAAATCGATTGGTGAATGGTCGAACAAAGGCTGTGAAATTGCATATGGAAGCAAAATCATTCGCCCAGAAATAGGTGAATTTGTCGCCGAGCGAACGGAACCACCGGAATCTGACACCTTCATCGTCACCACCGTATGGTCCTCCAAGTTTATTCATCGCTTCCGTTTCCCTCTTCGTCTTAAAAGCCACCAGAATCGCCATTTAGTCATAATGTTTGGCTGTGAAAGGTTTCGTTGGATTAGTGAATTGCCTCTATCTTAGGACACCACCAGGGGCGACCTAGTCAAGCCAATCAATCTAAGAATAGACATTCCTATCCTAAAAATGGATTCTAGTTTACCTCGTTTTGTCTTACTGAGACATGCTTGTCGATCCCCAAATCTGCTTTTGACTCTGTGGTTAGATGAAAAACGGGACCATTTCTTCTATAAAAAAAAAGGGGGTTGCAGAGATATTTGGTCTTTGCTCAGTTATGGCGTGAATGAGGAAGGAGGAAGAGGGGGGCATTGTGGTCTTTTGACTTCATAAAGGGTTGTATGGTCATTTAAAAAATTTTGGGTTGTCACGTGACCGTCATGTGCTTCTTCACGGTCAAATTCAACCGGTTAATCACCGGATTGGGGTAAATTGCAACAAACATGTTAGTTGAGGGGGGTTATTTGCCAAATTATTAGATCATGGGGGTTTTCTGCTAAATGGCCAATAGTTGAAGGAGGTTTTTTGCACTTTACCCTAAAAAAAAGTTTAAAGACTTTTCGTAAATTTTTAATAAATTATATATAATTTTTTAGAAAATTAATTA